TTTGGCTTTTTGCACAATAAAGCGTTGTTTGTTTGTTTTGTTTGTTTGGTACCTTAACAACAACAAAGCTATTTAGTTATTATTTAAAATAAGTTTAAGTCCGACTCTGGTCTTTTAATATATATATATATATATATATATATATATATATATATATATATATATATATATATATATATATATATATATATATATATATATATATATATATATATATATATATATATATATATATATATATATATATATATATATATATATATATATATATATATATATATATATATATATATATATATATATATATATATATATATATATATATATATATATATATATATATATTATATATACAGTGTGACCCACTCAAGACCGGGCACCTCCATAAAATCTGTGTTTATAGTCCGATTTTGATGATTTTTTTTCAAATATAAAGTTTCAAAAAATGTACTTTAGGGCTCAATGTCATGTTATTTCACAAAAACAAGGCCTACTTAATAAAGTTTTTGTGGTGAAAAATTTGCAAAATCATATTAGCGATTTTTTTTTTTTCAAAAATTTGAGTACACCCCTACATTCGGCATCCCCAAAACAGTTCTGTACCAAATTTCGTTTAAAAAATATTAATTATTAATAATTCTGCAGTTAAATTAAATAATTCCCTATTTTTTGCCAATTTAACGATGAGTTATCAAGTAACCCTTGAAAAAAAACAATCCACGACAACGAGTTTTATTACAAACAATGATAAAAATACTACAAGCAACACAATAACCGAATAATAAGTTAAACATATTCAAATAATTCTAGTTGCTTCTACCAGCCCTCCATTCAGTTCAATACATTTGTCGCATCTTTTCTTAGATTAACAGTTACATTCCTAAGCTGCTGTGGTGTAATATTTGCAGAAGCCTCTGTAATTCTAATACGTAATTCACCTACAGATTGAGGTCTAGACTTGTAAACTTGTTGCTTTAAGAAACCCCAAAGAAAGAAATCAAGGGGTGTTAGGTCCGGGGATCTCGGTGGCCACCAATTAGCGGGCTATTTCGACCTATCCACTTATTTTCAAAATTTTCATTTAACCATTCCCTGACAACTGCCGCGTTATGCACAGGTGATCCGTCCAATTGAAATTTTAAATTCAAACGGGTTTGGCATGGTAAATTATGTATTGCATCCCAAAAGTCATTAATCAGAAAATTCAAAAACGTTGGACTATTCAAATTTCTCTCAAAAAAATATGGACCAATGATTCTATCATCAAGTATGCCACACCACACATTTAATTTCTGAGAATACTGTCTTCTTGTATTGATCACCCATTCAGGGTTTTCGACTGCCCAGAATCGCGAATTTTGAGAGGATACTACTCCGTTTGTACTAAATGTTGCCTCATCACTAAATAAAATTTCTTTTAAGAAATTTCTATTATTTAAATACTCTGCTTGAGCCCATAAGCAGAATTCTAATCGTCTAACATCATCTCCGTTTTCCAAAGTGTGTAAAATCTTTGGTTTAAAGGGTTTAACTTTATTAGTTCGCAAACATCTCCTAATATTTTCCCTTGGTATATCCAAATCAACACTGGCGCCTCTAATGCTTGCACGAGGATTGTTACGAAAATATTCTAATATTTCCTCATTCCGCCTATTTATTCGATGTTCCGGCCTTCTGTTTTTTAGTAAGTATTTTGACACACAACCAGTTTCATTAAAAACTCTATTTATTCGTTGAACCGTGCTTCTACTTACTGCAGGTCTGTCGGGATGTCTGTTGTTAAATTCTCTGGCAGCTTCTCCTGCTTGAAGATAGTTATCACCCACTAAACGAATAATTTCAATTTTATCCCTAATATTTAATTGTTCCATAATGCAAATAATATTTCTTGATACAACACTTTTCTGCGTGCTATTAAATTAATATTCAATTCTACGCTGCAAGAATTGACAGCTAATAAAACCCATTGTTGTGGATTGTTTTTTTCAAGGGTTACGTGATAACTCATCGTTAAATTGGCAAAAATAGGGAATTATTTAATTTAACTGCAGAATTATTAATAATTAATATTTTTAAACGAAATTTGGCACAGAACTGTTTTGGGGGATGCCGAATTTAGGGGTGTACTCAAATTTTTTGAAAAAAATCGCTAATATGATTTTGCAAATTTTTCACCACAAAAACTTTATTAAGTAGGCCTTGTTTTTGTGAAATAACATGACATTCAGCCCTAAAGTACATTTTTGAAACTTTATATTTGAAAAAAAAAAATCATCAAAATCGGACTATAAACACAGATTTTATGGAGGGTGCCCGGTCTTGAGTGGGTCACACTGTATATATATATATATATATATAGTATATATATATATATATATATATATATATATATATATATATATATATATATATATATATATATATATATATATATATAATAGTAATATAAAATCATCAAAAAAATTAATCATATTATTACTTTATAGTCGATTCACCCTATAAGCCTGTACAATGTCAATATTTTAAGATATTTTAAGAACTGACTAAAGACACAAACAAATTTAACCAACTTGTTTATACAGGCTCAAATTACTTCCAACTTATTCTTTATTATTGCGTCTATGTACGTAAATATTTTTATTAATAATACTTGTGTAGTAAATATACTACTTCTACTAAAGAAATTGACTGCAGAATAATGGACTAGTTTTTACCAATATTTAATAAGTAAAATAAGCTATAAAACAAATAAATCAATTAATCACTGAAATTTTAGTTTTTTAAAGTTTTTTTTAGTCTCTAAAATAAATCGTAAAACTCTTTAAAAAGTGATATAATAAATATGTTGCTTGTCAATTTTAACTAACAATTTGACTCATAAATCCATCACAATTTGGCAGCGCTGACGCCATCGCTCGTCACTCAAAGTTGATCACGTGCATCGGAAATTGTTTTGCGATTACCATATGTTTCCTTTATCGAAATCTTGTGGAAAATATTTGCACTTATTTAAGATTCACCCTGTATATTTACTAAAAAAATAATAGAGTACGAGAAATTAAAGAAGAATATTGGCAGCGATTTAGTAGCGAAATGGAGGCGGATATGTACGGAGCACAAAAACGTATTTGGAAGATGTTGAGGGGCTTGAAACGAGAAACAAATGAAACAATACAACTAAGAACAATTGCAGAAGATACGTGGGAAAAATATTTCAGAGACTTATACGCAGAAACAGATGAACCAATGGAAGCACAAGAGACAAGCCAAAGAGATAATACAGAAGATCATGCGCAAATCACTTACAAGCAAGTAGAAGAGACAATAAGGAAACTTAAAAATAGAAAATCTCCTAATCAAGATAAAATACCAAACGAGCTAATAAAAAACGCAGGCACGGCTATCATAGAGGAATACACAAAACTGTTTAACATTATATTACAACATAAGAAAATACCAGAAGAATGGAAACAAAGTATAACAATACCCATTTTTAAAAAGGGAGATAAAACAGACCCAGCAAACTATAGAGGAATAACATTACTGAGCACCTCGCTAAAACTTCTGACTAAGATCATTGCGGACAAAATCTCCTCAATAGTGCCAATAAGCGAGGAACAACAAGGATTCCGAAGAAACCGATCAACTACCGATGCACTATTCATACTCAGGCAACTAGTTGAAAAATCCTTAGAATATAACTCTCCAGCCTATCTATGTTTTATAGATTTAACAAAGGCCTTTGATAGAGTCCAACTAAAAGACATCATCACCATCTTGGAAAGCAGTAATGTCTCGAAAGAACTCACAGAACTTATCAAGGACTTAAACACAAACACAACAACCCAAATAAGAACAAACTTTACCTTAACGCAGCATCTTCGAACTACAACTGGTATTCGCCAAGGCGACAGCCTCAGCCCTCTGTTATTCAACACAATCATGGATCAAGTAATAAAAATCGTCAAGAATACTGGATTAGGATATCGAATGGGAATGCATAAAGTAAACATATTATGCTATGCCGATGACGCAGTACTTATTGCAGAGTCCGAGGACGACCTCCAAAGAATGGTACAAGCTTTTAACAGATAGGCAGAAAAACTTAACATGCAAATTTCCACAAATAAGACCAAATGCATGACCATTACAAAGGAGCCTCTACGCTGCAAATTGGTAATAAAAAACAAAACTATTGATCAGATAATGTCATTCGAATACCTCGGATGCGAAATTACAAGCTCAGGATTCCTGGAAGAAGAAGTAAGGAAACAAGCCAATAAAGCTGCCGCATTATCAGTGCATCTTAAATATCCCATATGGAAAGACAAACATTTGAGTACTTAATGTAAGTCAAGAATATACAAAACCTGCATACGACCAGTGATAACATATGGTGCGGAAACCAGAGCTGAAACATCAGTAATAAAGAGAATCCTACGAACTACTGAAATGAAGACCTTAAGAATGATAACTGGATACACATTGAGGGACAGACAGAGAAATGTAGACATAAGAGAAAAGTGCCAAACAAACGACGTTGTCGGATGGATAAGGCAGAGAAGAAGAGAATGGGACCAGCATGTCAATAGAATGGGCCCCGACAGAATGGCCATAATAATTCGCAACAACGTACCCCATGGCAGAAGACCTACTGGACGACCACCTAAACGTTAGCAAGACAGTTCGCACTCAACCTCGCAAGAGTTGCTTAGACGAGGAGGAAACCGGAACTAAACAGGCGATACGCCTTCTAAAAGAAGAAGAAGAAGATACTTACTAAAAAAATCAACAAAACATATTTAAAAAAAACATACAATCCAATACTGTTTTATTTACTTTCATGAAACTTGTAATCTTTCTTTTTCAGCGCACTAGTGTATATCCGATCCTCAATAACTGCCTCCCATTCGATTTAATTAACTTAATTCCTCGTACTGTGCCGCTTTGACCCTTTTTAATACATCCAATAAAACTGTAATAAAGCGCCATTCGCCTTAATAACAACATCCCACCATTTTCTTGATTGTTTTAATTCTTTTACTTCGTTCTGTATCGTGTATCGCCGGCTATTTTCCTTTAATTAAAATGTCGATGGGTGGCTATCTGGACACGGAGGCCCTGCTGACCGACCTCCACAAGTGGGTGAGTGCGGAGACCCTTAGAAAGAAAAACATCGAGAAGTACGACCTGAAAGTGTACGGGGTGGACGATAAAGTCGATAACTACGGCAGTGATATAGTCTTCGTTGATATCACTGCTGAGAACTTCGATGGTGAGAAGAGGAGCTATAGTTTGGTGGTTAAGTATGGGCAGATGATGAACGAGTTGAGGGATAAGTTGCCGATAAGGGATGCTTTCGAAAGGGAAATTGATGTTTATACTAAGGTAAGGAGTGTCATATCGCGGAAAAAACTGTAGCATTAAATTCACTGTAAATAAAGTAGAAAATTTGCTAACAATTTTCTGAAATTAAAATTATTGATGTCTATGACTATAATAGTTATGAAAATACGAGGCATGTTTTTTAAGTAAGTACCGTTTTGGAATTAAAAAAAAAACGTGCAAAGATATCGCAATAATTTTATTTTTACATGAAAGCCTGTACCTTAATCTACTTTTCTACATAATTTCCGTGAATATTGAGGCACTTGTCATAACGTGGTACCAGTTTTTCAATACCCTCCTCATAAAATTCTGCCGCCTAACTGGTTAACCACTGTATCACAACTGTTTTGACTTCGTTATCGTCTTGAAGACGCTGACCGCCCAGGTGTTTCTTCAAGTGCAGGAATAAATGGTAGTCACTGGGCGCCAGATCAGGGCTGTATGGAGGATGATCAGAGTTTCCCATTTAAAAGATTTGATGAGATCTTTGGTCCGATTAGCCACATGTGGACGGGCATTATCATGCAGCAAAACAATACCCTTACTCAACTTGCCACGTCTTTTGTTTTGGATTGCACGGCGCAGATTGTTCAATGTCTCACAATAAGATGCTGCCTTGATTGTCTCATTACGAGGCAGAAACTCCACTAGCAATACTCCTTTTCTGTCCCAAAAAACTGCACATGATTCTCCGGGCAGAAATTGTTTGCTTAAACTTCACTGTTTTGGGTGATGATGAATGTCGCCATTCCATGGACTGTTGTTTCGATTCTGGTGTTTCGTAGGCCACCCATGTTTCGTCACCAGTAACAATTTTGTCTAAAAAATCTTCACCTTCATTGTGGTACTGCTCAAGGAAAGTCAATGCACTGCCTAAACGTTGGGTTTTGTGCAAATCCATCAACATTTTCGGAACCCAACGTGAACACAATTTCCGGTAATTCAAGTTCTCGGTCACAATGCGATACAAAACACTACGAGAACATTGAGGAAAGTAGTCGCACAATGATGAAATTGTAAAGCGTCTGTTTTCTTTCACCTCTTTGTCCACTTTCTGCACCGAATCTTCATTAACGACCGAAGGACGCCCACTCCGTTCTTCATCATGCACATTTGTGCGGCCATCTTTAAATGCTCTCACCCTTTTCCTTACCATTCCATCACTCATAATGGTTTGTCCGTAAACTTCACAGATCTCACGATGAATATCGATCGGTTTTACGCCTTTAGCACTAAGAAATCGTATGACAGCCCGTACTTCACAATCGGCGGGGCTCACGATTGTCGGAGGCATCTTAAACACTCAATAAACAACGTATACAATGAAGAATCAGACTGTACTGGCGTCTGTGCATAGACAAGAGATGTAAGTAACCAGCGCGCATGCGCGGAACGCCGACCGTAGCGCTGCGGCGGCGGAATCGCAAAAGGGTACTTACTTAAAAAACATGCCTCGTAAATCGAAATTTTTTTAAGAATATTTAACACCTTGTAGCCACGAAATAAAGCAGAATCGGACCTATGTTGATATGAAAAATAAATCTTATTTTTACGCGGGGAATCTCCCTACGAGAGATGGCACATGTTTTTTGAAACACCCTGTATAGTGAAGAAGATTAATAACCGATTAAAGAAACAAACATATTTTTTAACCAACTTGTTTTGCCAACTCATTTTCTTTGTGTAGCGTTTTTTATAAAACATTACCACTGCGAACGGCAGCTTTTCATCGGAGAGCAGTCGTGGATAAGGTATTTCACTAGAGAGAAAACTAATCAATAACAATAAACAAAAAAATATAGATATTGGGCGCCAGGCATGTACAGAGAAAGAAAACACAGTTGCATATTACTTAAAACTAATGACTATATTTATTCATGATGTTCTTTGCTGGTACATGACATTGTAGAATTGTAGTAAATATATAGTGGTTATATGTCAAAGAAAGTGGTGTTAAGAGTTGTACTAAATATCTATGAAAGCAACTATGATAAAATACAAGACATGTAAAGTTTAAGAGAATATATGAAATGTAGCATTACTTTAATTAATTTGAAATATTTTATATGATGTTAAATCGAAGACGTTGCAACCCGTAGATTCTAGAAACTATGTTTGGTTATTCTGTTAAAATAGTGCAATAATAATATCTATAAAAGTAATACCATTACAAGACGTAATGCAATGAAACCTAAGATCTAAATTATATTTTAAAGATTAAATCGACATGAATGTTCTTAACAATCTAACCACTAAACATAGTCTGTACGATATTACTTAAGATGTACGTTATTGTTTAAGACTGAAAATGTTTTAGATGTTAAATGTAAAACTAGAACTTAAATCTACACTTAGCTGTTCTTTATGTAATCTTGCTTCAAACAGTAACAGCGTGAGGTGGGCTCGCATCTCTGTACTCGGCCATCCAATACAACAAAAGGGGCCAGAATGAGGACACCATGAAATGATACAGCCGTAACTACTAACTAGCTTATAGATGGGAACGAAGCAGCATGGGGCTCAAGCTACATCCACGCTGGGGCACTTTATATGTAAGAAAAATCATTCCTACTGGGGACACTCGTCCACAGGACATCCGTACATAGGATAATGGTACAAGGGAACACTACCCGTAGCTTGGACCATAACCTAGGACTATAACCTTGGAAATAGTCCGTACCTTGGACCCTAAAAATATGAAACTCTTGTTTAAAACCAAACAAGGTCTAATAAACAAAATAAACATACCTCGAATTACTTCCGAGTGCTCAATAATAAACAAAGAAACTGTCCTTTCTTCCATGTAACATTCTGGAGGACAAAAGAAAAGGGACGCCAACGTGCCAGCAAAATACAAATACAAGTTAAGTTGGGACATAATGCAGTAATAATATCGAATCTAAAAGGATAATATTTCATCTTTACCTGTTGCTTTGAAATAGCAGCTGATTCAGATTATACAGCAAGATTTAAATAATCACCATTTCCAAAAGCCGGGATGGTTAGGTTAGGCTACAGAGCGCTAAAAGCAAAGGTGAGTCCACAGCACAGAGAGTTGACAGAAGCAATGGTCGCGTTCATCAGGACAAGTTGATCAGTGAGCGATGTACCATCGATTGGTTGTCCTGCTGAACGTGCTTTTTAGATCAAAATCATAAGTAATACATATTAAATTGTTTTCACCCATTTTTGGCACAAATCGAGGGGATTAACCGAGAACAATAAACAAAATGCTTTGTTTTCGTTTTCCAAAACATTTTGTGACATTTGGCGTATGTGACGTTTAATCCATCATGCATCGGTAGCGTAGCGTATTTTAAATCTGATGGAAAAAAATGGCGACTGATCCCAGAGCGCTCACAACTAATCGGCGCGTTCAGCAGAAAATTAGTGATCGCTGCGGTAGCGCTACGTCCTGATGAACGCGACCAATGTTGACAGCGCCTCCACAGAGCGATAACAGGGTTGCGTCAAACGATAACAGGGTTGTGGACTAGAGAACGTAAAAATTCGTCAAATAAATTATCCGGCCGGAACGATAGGGAATCCGGTGATGATACGCTAGACATCATATTATATATAAAAAAGACATGTAACGAACTAAAAACGTTACATTATGTTGTATTTTTCATACATATTTTGTGTGGCTGATCATTGCTATTTACGTAAATATTTTTATTGGCAATAATACATTCTAGTGCGTGTAGTAAAAATACTACATCTACTGAAGAAATTGCAACAAATTTTCTTTAACAAAAGTTGGTTTGATTGACACCATAATTATACTACAATTATTAACATATTTTAAAAATATACTGGGTGCGTCTCAAAAGTTGCTCACTCCTATAACTTTTTTAATTTTTCAGATAAAAAACGAGATTTATTTTATAGGTTATGTTAGTATATGACATAAATTCCGAGTGATTGATGTATTCAATTGTTTTTGGAAACTTCCTGTTTCACCTTTCGATTTTTAAATGACACCCTCGGTATTTCTTTACTTTATTCGATAGAAAACGACACTCTAAATAGAATGACATATCATGTGTCAACTTTTGACATTTTCACGTATGATTTATTTGAACTTGTAACCTGCGGTTCATAAGGACAATTTGACTTGAATTACCAAGTGTGTGGTTACCAAATTATTCGTTAAAAAATGATTTTTTCAAATATGATAATGAGCCACCCTGGTTCCATTTGAAAAAAATTGAGATAGGATTAAAAATATGACCTTTTAACCGGCCAAAAACCATTAGACGATCAAATTTATTTCTCCAAGGCTCCTTGATTAAAAATGATGTCTTTAACACAGTTAAGATTGAAATTTTAAATATGATTTTTTTAAAAGCGAAAACGTTAAAAGTTGACATATCATATGTCTGTATAGACATACTACTATTCAGCTGTTTTGTTTGGTACAATCCCAGAGTTGAATACCATAAGTCCATATTGGCTTCAGGACTTGTTGATAAAGCAAAAGCTTATTATACCGGGTGCGTCTTAAAAGTGGCTCACTCCTATAACTTTTTTATTTTATCAGATAAAAAAAATAAATTTTGTATGTTAGTATATGACATATATTAGGATTGATTCACGTATTCAATTCTTTTCGGCTACTTCCTGTTTCACCGGAAATGACTACAACTTTTGAATTTTAAATGGCACCCTCTGTATATTTTCACTTTATTCGATAGAAAATGACATTCTGAATAGAATGACATATCATCCAAGAAGCCTTGGAAAAATATATTTGATCGTCTGTTATTCGTGTCATATCCTGGCCGGTTAAAAGATGCCCAAATCGTATTTTTAATCATATTTCAACTTTTGGGTGGGTCAGTAGCATATTTAGAAAAAGCATTTTTTTACGAATAATTTGGTAACGCACACAAAGCACAGTGCTTCGAACATATGGCTCTAGAGGACAAAAATCCAAAACTTCTCTTTTATTTTAAGCAATTTATTCAAACTAGGTTTATTTGACACAAATAATGAGT